GGATCTCAGGTGAGTCTCTTATAGACAGCATATAGTTAGGTTGTATGTTTGTCCATTCTGCCAATCTCTGTCTTTTGATTGCTGAGTTAAATCTATTTACACTTAGTTACTTATAAAGAGGGACTTACTTCTGTCATTGCACTATTTGTATTCCATATGCCCTATAGCTTTTTTTGGTCCCTCATTTCCTGCATTACTGTCTTTTGTGTTTAGTTGATTTTTTATAGTGAATTGTTTAAATTCCTTTCTCATTTCCTTTTGTGTATATTATACAGCTATTTTCTTTGTGGTTACCATGGGATTACATTTAAGTCTAAATTTATAATGCTCTCATTTGAATTTATACTTTCAGTAACATACAAAAACTCTGCTCCTTTACAGCTCTGTCCTTACCCCTTTTGGTTACTGATATTACAGAATATCATCTTTATACATTGTGTGCCCAAAAACAAACAATTCTTTTAAATTCACTATTCTAAATTATGTAGAAAACAAAGTGTGGAGTCACAAACCAAAGATACAGTAATACTAGTTTTCACACTAACAATTTTTTTCTTTAAATGTATCAGTCTCATATAGAAAACAAAAGGTACAGTTACAAGCCATTGGGGGATGGGGAGTTGCGACTGTGCTAACAGCTGAAACTGATCAAAGCGAAGGTAATTTACTCTCTGTGTCTTCCCCTGGAAGTTGCAGAGCCTTCAGCAAACCTCAGAGTTCCAAAACAGTTACATCGGACAGATTCTGCCCCTGCAATTGTCCTCTAGGTGGGGAGACAGATTTCCTGGTGCTTCCTACTCTGCCATCTTCCTAGGATCCTCTCCCTGCAACCCCTAACACCTACATATCATTTGACTATGTCCCACCATCTCCCCCCTCCGCAGGTCAAGCTGTCAGATAAGACCACCCGGGCAACGGCTTGACTGTAACCTCGTGCAAGACCTTGACAGTGACGCTCTCCTTGTCCAAACTTCAGTCAGCCTCCTCTGAGCCCTTTTCTTGATGAGGCCTTGACCTTGGCCCCCTGTCCTTGCCAGGCCTGCATAGCCCAAGTGTAACAAGAATTCTGCTAAGTCAGTTTAGCAAGAATCTCCTCACCCTTGATATCTGATCATATTCTTCATTCTCTACCCTTGATATCTGATCACCCTGGACTGCCTTCAGCAAGAATCCTGTTATGTCAGTTTAGCAAGAATCGCCCTACCCTAGGTGTCTCCTCTTAGTAATATCTTTTTTTTCATCCACTAACCCCCTCATTCCACTTGTTGGCTGTAAATCCCCAGCTGTCTTTGCTGGATTTAGAGTTGAGCCCAATCTTTCTCACCTCGTGATAGCCCGGACACCTATTGCCAGAGTCCTGACTGAAGTCTTCCTTACCACGTTAACAAGTGCCAGAATATTTGTGCTTTAACATTCCTGAGCTAGAGGCACTCAGCAAAGCCATCCCCAGACTGCTGACCCATAGAAACGATGAGATAATAACTGTTTGTTGTTTTGATCCTTAAATGTGAGGGTAACTTGCTATGCAGAACTAGAAACTAATGTATAGTGCTCACATTCTCCTTTCGGAGCTGGGGCTCTCTTACTGCCATTGCCCGGAGTGTTGGCTGCTTAGCAGTTGCTGTTTCCAGAAGTCTTTCTCCAGTGACTGCCTTTGGTAAAGAGAACTACCTTGCCTAAAAGATATACCCCTTCCCCAGGCAGTCTGCCAGCAAGGATTTGTCCATGCAGGAATATAAAGGCCTGGCTCCTTGGCCTCCAAGGTGGGACAACTCAGCTCTACAGGGCCCTGAAGGGTCCACAGAGATCTCTGCTGCAGCTGCGTCACAGTTCAGCTTCTCCCTCCCCCATTCCTGGTGCTCTCACCTCCGTAAGGGGGTTTGTACCAGGGTCAGTCTCCAACACACCTCCTAAATGCAAATCTCTGCCTCAGAGCCTGCTTTCCAGGGAACCTGGCCTCAGCCACTATGTGACCTTGAGCAAATACTTTACCTTTCTTTATCCTGGTTTCTTTGTCAGCAAAATGGGAGAAACACCAGTGTCCATCCCAGAGCATTGTTGTGAGGATTAAATGAGTTTAGGTCCTTGGCATGGTGCCTGCCATACAGTCAGCACATATACATAGTTGCTGTTATTATTATTTCTATTATCTATCAAAAGAACATTCCAAGCTCCCTGCTCCCCTCACCTCAACAAACCAGCTAGTGCCAAGGTCTTGAGGTAGCCACAAACTTGGCATGCTAGAGAGATAGAGCGGGGGTGGGGGGTGGGGGTGGGGGTGCATGAGGCCAAAGGAGGAGAACAGCAGGAGATGAGGTCAGAGAAGCAGGCAGGGCCCTGCTGGGCCCACGTGGGCCTTGGATGTTAGCGTAAAGAGGTAGGATTTAAATCTAAGGGAGGTGGGGAGCCATGGCAGATTGGGAGCAAATAAGTTACACAAGTTGCTTTGGGGTTCTAAAAGCCCAGCCTGGGGGCACCCGGGTGGCTCAGTCAGTTAAGTGTCTGCCTTTGGCTCAGGTCATGATCCCAGGGTCCTGGGATAGAGTCCCGCATCACTGGGCTCCCTGCTCAGCGGGGAGTCTGCTTCTCCCTCTCCCTCTGCCCCTCCCCCCACTTGTGTTCTCTATCAAATAAATAAATAAAATATTTAAAAAAGAATAATAAAAGCCCAGCCTGGCTTGCTGGGAGAGTCAGGCAAACAGCAGGGAGTGAAGTGAGGGAGACTACAAGTGTGATGTTCATGAAATGGGAGCATGGGGACAGGTTTTGGTGGGAGAGTCACCCAGGCGCCCCAAAATTCTTTTTTTAAAAAATGCTTTATAGTTTTCAAAATGATTTCACATAAATGAGCTCATTTGATCCACAGCCTCATAAAACAGATGGGATTATCATCATTTTACAGATGAGGAAAGAAGGAAGTCATAACCATTCTCCTGTCACTAAAAATTCTTCTTAATATTAAACACAAATATTCATGGCATCTGTATATTCAATTTTATCCATGCCCCCATTTTTAGTCATTTTCTTACTGGCTACTTCTCAAATTAGGTTGGTCCCAACTTTACACAGCTGAAAATACCACTGGCTGGAACATCATCATACATCTATCTTTGTCTAAATCTTTGTTTCCTTAGGATCTATTACTAGAAGTGGAATTACTGAACTAAAACCTTAAACCTTCCCTATTCTGAATAGAGCTGAAACAGTATAGGATGTTTAAAGGTCTATTCCCACCCACTCCCCAGCTTGTGGTAGGTCAGTCTTAGTACTTGGCCAAACTGGTCACTAAATTAGATAGTAGTTATGTGTTGGGTTTTGTGGGACCTGCTGGTTTTATCCAAGAAGGCTTGGTGCATTAGTCCTTTTCCTGCAAATTCCTTGGTTTTTTCTATCACCTTGGCCCAGCCCAGCTTGGATGAAATGCTAATTTACAAAGTATATTACTGGATATGAGAAGAAGGGGGCAAAGGACAGGAAGATCAGTAGGGGTACGTAGCAACACAGTGGCTTTAGATTTATTTGTTAGTTTACAACAAAGACTTTTAAAGTACCTACTAGCTGGGTGGTGGAAATTTCGCAAAAGTTGCAACACGGGGACTTTCTGAGAATTGAGCTGGAGTAGCCAAGATGGAGCTCCGGAGAGACAAAGATGGAGAAAATGCCTTTAAGGACTTCACAGCATAGTAACAGGTAATTATCAAACGTTACCCCTAAGGAGTTTAATGGGCATCTCAAATTTGACATGTCCAAAACAGAAATCTTGATCTTCTTCCTAAACCTGTTTTTCTTTCTCCCAGACTTCCCTATTTTAATAAGCAACACAACCACTCACCTAGTTACTCAAAAGCCAAAAATCTGGGACTCATCCTTTACTCCACTCTGTCTTGTTGATAGGATTCCAGCCTTTCACTAAATCCTTTAGGATCTACCCACACAATATAGAAACATCGTAACTCCATCCTGGTGCAAGCACCGTCATTGTCATCTATAAAGTCTCCGAACCTGCCTACCCTCATCCACTGTCAACTCTCTAATCCTTTCTCCAAAAAGCAGCCAGATTGGTCTTGTATACATTATACCATGACAGCTCCCTGGTTAACACCCTCTGATGGTTTTCCATTTCACTTAGAATACAATTCAAAATTCTTTTCATGCTCTGTATTTATGTGCCTCTGCATTATCTGGCCCTCACCTCCTCCTATTCTTCCCTTGGCTCACTCACCTGCCACACCGACCTCAGGTCCCTCTGCTTAAGTTGCTCCAGGGCGCTTTGCTTGGTTCTCACTTCTTCAGAACTCATTTAAAATCGTACTCTCAGGCCTGCCTCCCCTGGCATCCGACCTAACATAGCCATGCGTCCCATCACCACTGCCACTTCCTAATCCCTTACGCTACTTTTTGTTTCTTCTCAGCACTTCTTTCTCTAATGTCATATTTGCGTGCTCATCGTTGTGTCTCTGTCCTACTCGATACTATGTCAGGTACCATTAGCGCAGGAACGCGATGTGTTTCCCCATTCTAACGCACTGCCTGGAAGCACAGAGACGTTTATTGTTTGTTGAATGAACGATAAATGTATGCTTGTCACAACACTGATTGTTCTATTGATTTATTCATTTGTTTAGCATATCTCCCCCAGGTGAGTGTAAACTCCGTGAAGACTGGGATCGTGCCCATTTTGTTCACTGTTATATCCCCTAAGCTTTGAACAGAGCTGTAACAGTGTCAAGTGCAAAGCTATATTAAAGCGAGGTGGGCGCAACTAAACTGACCTAAGGAGCTATGGGAGTACTCACAGATAAAACTGCACCTAAACAAGTACTGAAAAGGGGCGAAAACCAAAAGGACAGAGAAAGGTAAGAGTCGCGGCAGAGGCAATCTCGCGAGGTGTTGGGCAGCCAAGATGGCTCCCAGCACTTGCCGCCACACCTAATATGGCGACCAGGGAGCGTTCCTGGAGGAAATCACGCGAGAGTTGCATCACGGCTACAGGCCGTGAATTGAGCCGGGGGTGTGGAGCAGCCAAGATGGAGCCGGCAGCCGGCGGCCCCGGCCCATTGATCATGAACAACAAACAGCCCCAGCCGCCACCACCTCCGCCACCGGCAACCGCGCAGCCTCCACCCGGAGCCCCGCGGGCCGGCGGGGGCCTCCTGCCCGGGGGCAAAGCCCGGGAGTTCAACCGCAACCAGCGCAAAGACTCGGAGGTCAGGAGCTTCGGGGGGCGAGTATAGCACCGGGCGGGTGGCGGCGGGGGACCCGGGCTCGGGGCCTCTTTCGCGTTCCAGCTGGGCTTCCCGGAGGGTTGGAAAGGGCCCGGTGGGAGAGTTGTCATTTTACAGCGAAAGGAGCAGAAAGCAAGGCTGGCAGCCCCAGTGCCAGGGGCGTGAGGCCAGGGTCCCATCCCGAGCTCGCTGTTTGCCAGAACCTCCCGGGGCCGGCGGCTCCTCGTTTGCTTCTCTGGGGCGGGGGCTGAGGGTGCGGCCTCCAGGCCCCAGCCCCTGGGGAAGCCGCCCCCGGTCCCAGTTCGGGGGTGAGGAGTCAGTGGTCTGCGTGCGCTCCAGGGGGCGGGCGGCTGCACCCCGACCCCTAATCATCTGTGGGCTTGTCCTGTGGGCTCCGCAGAGTGCGGTGGGCGGTGTGTGTGGGCAGGGAAGGGAGCTGGGAGCCGGACGGAGCTAATTATCACTAATAGTACTACGTGCCCGGAGATTTTCAGAGTAGGAGGGAGTAACATTCCCTATTCAGTCTGACCTTAGCTATTTACAGGTGCAGGCCGTAGTTTGACAGTGCCTAGTCCGCCAGATGCCGAACTGTTAACGATCACAAATACGCAGTGTAAACAAGCATTAGGGCTCAACATTCCCTTTCTTGCTAGTGGGCTGTTCCTCTGGTTCCGGAGACACCATAGTCTGAAGCTGACTACTAGTCACCTCACCCCGAGGTAAAGAATTCCTCCCACTCCCTCCCAATGTAGATTTCATGAATGAAGACACACACGTCGCACCCAGCATTTTAGGGCTTCTTAATCAGTACGTTCCCAGAGTATTTACTGTGAGGTCTCCTTCACCAGAGATAACTCAGAGGCTGATCAGCAGTGAGGCGCTTATTAATGAGAAGCAATTCCTCCTTGTCCAGACGCAGTATACCCGGTCATACCAAAGACTGACGTGTGAAATCAGTTCCTCTCAAGCTTTTGTATTTTGTTGGCAAGTGCAAAGCTCTGGTAAAACGTGTCAAAATTTGGCAAGTCCAAAATAGAGATACTCTGAGCTTGAGGTGAATTTGAAAAAGCAATGAAACTGACTTTTTAGGAGCCTTTGCCTGGTGGGGTGATGGAGGATTATCAAAGTGGTGGGGGTGAACCCGCCTTCATCAGGAGAGGAGTTACAGTTTAAAAACAGTTTAAAATTTTCCTAGGTAGCCTTGAAAGAGCAAATAAATACCCTTTGATGCGATTTAAATTTCTCCTACCCTTTAGTTTTCATATAGACACAACATGTGGAAGGCCAGCCAGTGAACATGTTTAAGCTGAGAGATCTGTTTCAATTTATTTTCTTAGAGATGCCGGTTCTGCACTCAGCTCTTTGGGCCTAGCTGGAATCAGTAGGCTGGGAGCTTGAGTAATGCCCGGAGGACAGGGAGGCCATCACTTGATGAGAGCCCCCTTTGCGCTACATAATTCTGATTAGTCCTTAAAAACCTTCAGGATAGATTTTCGTCATCCCCATTCCATAAATGAACTGAAGCTCAGTAACTTGTGAAAGGGTACACACTCTGTTGCCTCTGACAGAGTAGAGTTCTTCATGTTTTTCAGTGTCTCTGGGTTTGTTATGTCATTTTGTGGCTGGTCTTTGTCTTCCCAAGTAGCTTGGAATTAAGCCTGAGGACTTTACCTACTTCATCACCTCTTCTCTCTTCCCAGCACAAGGCTCTCAAGATGGTGTGTTCTCGGTGATCACCTATCCCGAGCAGTGAAAAGATTCTCTGTCACATTCTGTCCTGTGTGGGGGAGGGAAACCATTCTGTTAGGCTGCCGCCTTCTCTGTCTGTCAGTTCTCACTGAAATTTGAGAGAAGCAGGAAAGGTGAGAATGTCAGTACTCATTTTGTCCTGAGCTGTTGATGGCCTACTACTAGCCAGAAAGAAGTGAGGCTTCTGGCATCTTAGCACCATGTGGAACGGGTCATTCACTGCACAGAATACATAGAAGCTCTGTGTTCATTTATCTAACAAGAGTTTATTTGACTATAAACTCTTCATTCATTCGTTCAGGCGAGGTAGCGTGCTGGGCATTGTGAAGTTACTGGTGAGCAGAGTGAACAAAGTTCTCCTCCTCAAGGAACTTGCAGTGTCATGGAGAGGCAGACACGAAACACACACCCATACTGGTATATAATGAGATGTTGTGCTCTTAGAGAAAAGTGGAAGGTGCTCTGCAAGGGCTTAACAGGGAAACCTGAGCTAGCCCCGGAGACAAAATGTGAAAAAACCTCAGAAAGGGGAGGCAGTGGTGTCTTGTAATACAGCAGCATCTCTGGACGCATATGTATCTCTTCCTTTTGGCATTACTGTCTGCTTTTCTCCACAGGGCTATTCCGAGTCGCCAGATCTGGAGTTTGAATATGCTGACACAGACAAGTGGGCTGCGGAGCTCGCGGGTAAAGCACAGACCTTCCTACTCTTGGGAGGTGTTTGTTTTCTGTATTGGTCTTTAATAAAATTAAGAGTCAGTGTGATTTTGGAGTTCATGTTTTCCTTTGGTTAGCTAGTAATGATATATATATATATATATACACACATATATAGCATTCATATAAACATATATATGTATATAAACATGTTAATTATGGGATTCAGGCTTTGTGTATCTCATACGTTTGGCTTTTCCTTTACTTTGGTGAAGCACCTCTGCTGTGTGGCCAGCTCGGTTAGCTGCGGCCCATTCGCAGACAGTGATGCTCCTTGGCCATACACTGTCTGCCTGAGAGTGGTCTCTCCGAGAGCAGTAGGTCGTGCCTGCATCTGTGCACATCTGTTGCTGCCACTGCTACTCACATGTCATGTGGGGCTAGCCTGAGCTGCTTCTCAGGACTCCACAGTGCAGGTCCTAGCTAGGAGGTCATGGCCACTTGAGAGACACACGTCCATGGTGGCAGTCCACCTCACATGGCATGGTGGGACTGATGTGCACCGGACTGGAAGTGCCTGGATTTACGTGTAACCGGCATTCACATTCTGATTATCTGCTGCGAGGGGAGTCAGCACTCTCTCCGTTATGCACGTCAGAGCACTAAGATCCCCTTAGTAACTGGATAGTCCAGGGGTCACTGTGACTCAGGGACAGAGTGGGGCCTAGAGGCAAATGCCTTATATTCTCTGCTGCATATGAGACCTGCTATGGCACATGGACATGGAGCTGATGAGACTTTGTTCTTGATAGAGCTTTACAGCTACACAGAAGGGCCAGAATTCCTGATGAATCGAAAATGCTTTGAGGAGGACTTCCGGATCCATGGTGAGATGATTCTCTGCACTTCTTGGTTCCTTTGACCCTGTGCCATGACAGCTGCAGAGCTTCTCTTGGTCATCTGAGTGTCTTAAGTCGTCCTGGCCTGGCCTAAGAAACCTGTTGAACCCTGACTGCTCCAGGCCACATGTGACCTTTAGGGTGGGCTTGCTGGTGCTCTGGTGGTGGCTTTGTAGAGTGTGAGTACTGGGGGGGAATGCTTTCTGTCATTAGAATTGCACCAAAAATAGCAGTGTTTCAGTCTGGAAATTCGTAGAGCAGCAGCGTGACATAGAGAGTAACTTTTCTTTCTGATTTTCCTGGTCTTGTGGCAGTCTTGAATTTGGTGAGTTAACATTGTGTTCATTCCATTGTGAGGATTTTTCTGGGCTCAAGTGCGACTGGTCTCTTGCCCTGCAGTAACAGATAAGAAATGGACCGAGCTGGATACCAACCAGCACCGTACCCATGCCATGAGGCTCCTGGATGGCCTGGAAGTCACTGCCAGGGAGAAAAGACTCAAGGTGGCTCGAGCAATTCTCTATGTTGCCCAAGGTACTGAGCAGGCCCCCAGGCCCTCTGACGCTGCCTTCAGTGACGTTGTCCAGCCCGATACCGGGAGGGACTCCGTGAGCTGTGCCCTGTGTTTGCAGGCACCTTTGGAGAGTGTAGCTCGGAGGCAGAGGTGCAGTCCTGGATGCGCTACAACATCTTTCTGCTCCTGGAGGTGGGCACGTTCAATGCGTTGGTGGAGCTTCTGAACATGGAGATAGAGTGAGTTGTTCTGAGGAGCTGGAGTAGGGAAGGGGAGGCAGGGGGAGATGGGACAGAGCTGGCAGAACTCAGTGGTTTTGAGAAGGGTGAATGGGCCAACTGGGGCTGACGGTGTGGTCCCAGGCTCTATTCGGACCACTCAGGTTGAACTGTGGCCTCTCGGGCAGTCAAAGCACTTATCATAGCATTTCAGTCCCCCCATTGGGCGCCCTTGTCAGGGCAACTCCTTGTCTTCCTTCCTGGGGGAAGGCCTGACTCCCAAATCTCTCCTGCAGCAACAGTGCGGCGTGCAGCAGCGCAGTGAGGAAGCCGGCCATCTCCCTGGCGGACAGCACAGACCTGAGGTGAGGCAGGCAGCAAGCGTGGGCTCCCTGAGAATGAGATCAGAGCCGGGAACGGGAGGGCGTCTTCGGGGGCCCTCGCTGTGTGTGTGCGCCTTCTGCACACGCCGATCTCCGTCTGCCCCGAGTTGGCCCCGCGGGGGGCTCTCCCTCAGTGGGGCTCTGGGCTGAGACCCCACCCACAGGAAATCTACGGTGAAGCCACTTGATAGAGCCACAGTGACGTGCGGCCTCCTGCCCACACTGCTGCTGACGATACTTTGTGCTTGGTGAAACGCACGACGTGGCTCCTTGGCTTCACCTTTGGGTGCGCAGCTTGACCCCCATCTCCTTCATGATATTCTGTGGCTGCACAGGAAGTAATAGCAACTGCTGAACAGTGAGATCACCTTCCCATTTTTATGAGGCTTAGCGTCTGTCTCTGTGAGTTTGGGAGTTTTCAGACCGGGTGTTCGTGGCGTTCCCCACTGTGGTCGGGTCCCTGGTTGCTGCCCGCTGGCTCCCGATTTCTGCCCCATCACAGTAGCACTTGCTTGTTCTCGCTTTGACCCTGCGCTGCTTCATCTGATCCGGCACCTACTTCCGCAGCTCACTCCCACCTCTGAGCTCTTCTTGCTCCAGGAAGCTTAGGGCCAGAAATGCTTTGGGCCATTCTTGTTCATATTAATCCATTCAGCCATTGATGAAGCACCTGCTTTGATAAGCACTTAGCTCAATGCTGGAATGCAAAGCAGAGTAAGATCTGGTCATGCCCTTAATAGCAGAGGACAAGAAAGGGCACCCCACGGGGCGCTCTGTGGGACTTTTAGTTTTCTCTGTGTTATACCCTCTGCCACCGACTAGCCTTTGTGCACGTGCTTTCCTCCTGTTAGCTGGACCGTGGAGAAGCCAGGACACTCCCTTGCTTCCCCATTCTGCACCATTATGAGCTGGCTTTTGTTCCCAGGGTCCTGCTTAACATCATGTACCTGATTGTGGAGACTGTTCACCAGGAGTGTGAGGGTGATAAGGCTGAGTGGAGGACCATGCGACAGACCTTCAGGGCTGAGCTGGGTAGGGCCCTGCAGATCCTGGGGTTTTGAGGCCCTGCCTGGGAGCTGAGAGTGCTGGCCTTGGGGAGGGTCCTGTTCCTGCTGGTCCTGATCCCTTTGTGTTACCTCTAGGTTCCCCCCTGTACAACAATGAACCATTTGCCATCATGCTGTTTGGGATGGTGACCAAATTTTGCAGTGGCCATGCCCCTCACTTCCCCATGAAGAAAGTTCTCTTGCTGCTCTGGAAGACAGTGTTGGTGAGCACCTCCTTGAAGGGGAACTCAGGGGGCGCCTGGGTGGCTCAGTTGGTTAAGCAACTGCCTTCGGCTCAGGTCATGATCCTGGAGTCCTGGGATCGAGTCCCGCATCGGGCTCCCTGCTCAGCAGGGAGTCTGCTTCTCCCTCTGACCCTCCCCCCTCTCATGTGCTCTCTCTCTCACATTCTCTCTCAAATAAATAAAATCTTTAAAAAAAAAAAACTTTATGAAGGGGAACTCAGCTGCTAGGGGTCAGGGCAGGAGAGAGACTTTGCACTGCATATCTTTTTAAATGTTGATTTATGTGAAAAACTATATATAAATTAATATATAACTAAACTATAAATTTTGGTTTAAAACAAAACAAAACAGCACTTTTGCCTCACTGTAGCCAAAGAGGACTTGGCCCTTGGGTCAGAATAGACTGTTGGCTCTCTCACTCCTGCAAGCTGCTTCTCTAGTCGTAAAACGCCTTCTCCCCAGACAGGCTGCTTCCGAACCTGGAGTATATGAAGTGATTGGAGGCAGAAGTAGAGCTGGTGTAATTGGGTCCCCTCAGTCAGAGGTCACTTGAAGGAAGCAAGAGAGCAAGAGCGAGCCTTGTGCTAGTGCCATCTCCCTCCGGGGGTGGTGTAGAGACTTGTTTCTGGCTGGGGAAGGAATGGCTAGCACCCTTGGCTTGGGGGCCATTGTCAGTAGCGAAGCCCAGCGCCCTTCCCACTTGGAGTAGTGACCTCAACAGAGAGTGGAGCTGCGGGTGGGATTCCTCGTCCCCTCGGGGCTCACCTCCTCCTTGCAGAGCAGGCCAACTCTGTGGAGCCAGGCTCAGTGAGTTTAGCGCCTCTTTAGAGTGGTGTGTGCATTTTATTTTGGTCAGACATCCTCTTGGTTCCTCACAAAGCCTCACTGAAGCCAGAGATAAAAGCTGAATACCACTGGGGTTTTGGCTTCTAGGGGCATGTTGAGAGGAAGCTTTTATTTATTTATTTATTTTTGGAGTATCTAAAAGTGTATCCCCAATTTGAAAGACTGGCATGTACAGCCTTTGAAGCATGTGAGTCTCACAGACTTGTCTAGGAACCTGAAGGGGTAGGCTCTTCAGTCTGCCTTCTTGATCTGAAGAATATATCATACATACAGAGCTAAGCATGTCCACTAGCTCAGTCAGCCTGCATGTCTCCTTCCCTTGCTCTGTTTTCTCTGCTCCCGCGTTGGCGTCACTGGATCCTTGTGTGATCAGTCCCTTGTTCAGAGATTGGTGCGGGTTGTGGTGTCACACACGGCTCGGGGACCCACTCGTGGAGCTATTGAGCCCGGCCCCGTCCCTTGTCCATGATGCAGTGCACACTGGGTGGCTTTGAGGAGCTACAGAGCATGAAGGCTGAGAAGCGCACCATCCTGGGCCTCCCCCCGCTGCCCGAGGACAGCATCAAGGTGATCCGCAACATGAGGGCTGCCTCTCCGCCGGCGTCTGCCTCGGACCTGATTGAGCAGCAGCAGAAGCGGGGCCGTCGGGAGCACAAGGTGAGGGTGACGGATGTACCCTGGGAGTCCCGAGGGTCTCGAGGTGCACAGCACATGGCAGCATGATCCCTGGGTGAGCGGTGATGGAAATCATCTCTGACCAGCTAGTCCAAATGAAGTCCTCTGGGCCAGGGTCACTGTGTCTGTAGCCCAGGGTCCAGTTTATTGTGGGTACTCACAACATGGCACTTTTGAGGCACTGGGGCAAGAAAGGCTTTGTCTTTTGGGCCCAGCCTTGACTTCCTCTCAGATTTTTCCCCTGCTCTTGGCTCTGCCTACCACCTTTCTGTGTTACAGCCTCTCTAGCCTCCTTGCCCTTTATGGTTGCTCGGTTGGCAATTGTCTGATTTCCCTTCCCCCTGTTTTCAGGCGCTGATAAAACAGGACAACTTGGATGCCTTCAACGAGCGGGATCCCTACAAAGCTGATGACTCTCGAGAAGAGGAAGAGGAGAATGATGATGACAACAGTCTGGAGGGGGAGACATTCCCCCTTGAGCGGGATGAAGTGATGCCTCCCCCATTACAGCACCCTCAGACTGACAGGCTCACCTGCCCCAAAGGGCTTCCGTGGGCTCCCAAGGTCAGGTGAGGCTCAGACTTCTGGCTCCTGAAACCAGAGGCCTCCCACCCCCAGGCCTGGCACCTGGCCTGAGTCACCACAGGAGGTCCTCTGTGGGGCCAGGCTGACTTTGGCTCTGGGATGGAACTCTCTTAAAGTACCCTCTGTTGGCCCAGAGGTCTCAGGGTGCTGGACTTGCTCAGAGAGACCCCTGTATGGCTCTTGAGTCAGTAAGATGAGTTAGCTCTTGGTTAGCTGTACTATCATGATGGGGGAATAGGGAAAAATGAAAACCAGGACATTTAACTGAACCCATCTCCACTCTTGCTGGAGTTGTATGTGGTTTTTATTTTTTCTTTTTTTAATTTTTATTTATTTATTTAATTTATTTATTTTTAAAGATTTTATTTATTTATTTGACAGAGAGCGAGAGCAGGAACACAAGCAGGGGGAGCAGGAGAGGGAGAAGCAGGCTTTCCGCTGAGCAGGGAGCCCAATGTGGGACTCGATCCAGGACCCCGGGATCATGACCTGAGCCAAAGGCAGACGCTTAACGACTGAGCCACCCAGGCGCCCTATTTTTATTTTTTTTTAAAGATTTTATTTATTTATTTGACAGAGAGCGAGAGCAGGAACACAAGCAGGGGGAGCAGGAGAGGGAGAAGCAGGCTTTCCGCTGAGCAGGGAGCCCAATGTGGGACTCGATCCAGGACCCCGGGATCATGACCTGAGCCAAAGGCAGACGCTTAACGACTGAGCCACCCAGGCGCCCCTGTATGTGGTTTTTAACAGAAGAAGATTAAGGAAGAGTTTTTAGAATCGTAATTAAGGTGTTTGAGAAATGTGTGCATGAATCAATGGGTGGGAAGGTACCTGGATATATAGAAATGGTATCTGTTTGAAAAGGCACCAATTAGGGGCGCCTGGGTGGCTCAGCCACTTAAGCGTCTGCCTTCGGCTCAGGTCACGATCTCAGGGTCCTGGAATTGAGTCCTGCCTCGGGCTCCCTGCTCAGCAGGGAGCCTGCTTCTCCCTCTCCCTTTGCCTCTCCCCCTGCTCGTGCTCTCTTGCTTGCTCTCTCTCTTAAATGGATAAATAAAATCTTAAAAAAAAAAAAAGCACTGACTTAAGAAATAGGTGGACACGTGAAAGGTTACAGAAGTCAGTTTCTTGATCTGAAACCCCAGTTTTCAGTGATTTGTGATGGCAGTACAAAACTAGTCCTCATGCAGGGTGTGCCAGTTGTTTAAGACGGACCCAGGACGCATATGAAAATCTTTGTAGTTGATAGGTCTAATTGTTGTAATAACTTTAAATATTTGAGAAATTCTTTTGACAAACGGACTTGTTAGCTGAATAAAGTATGCTTTTCAGTTTGAGGTAGCACCTTAATTTTACCGGTAAACTAGTTACACATAATATAGTTTCAGGTTATGGATCCAACAACATTATAAAGGATGTTAAAATAGTCTGAAGATTTTAGTTCATTTGTTCATTTTTTCTGTTTATCTTTTCTTTTCTTTTCTTGTTTACCTAAAAAGAAAAACAATGGTGGGAGACCTTTTGTTCTGGCTTCACAATTTCTGGGCATTCTATGTTGTATTGACCAGGACACCTTGAAATAACATTTAATAAAAACCTCATTCTTTCTCTTTGACAGAGAGAAAGACATTGAGATGTTCCTGGAATCCAGCCGCAGCAAGTTTATAGGTTACACTCTAGGCAGGTGAGTGTGATCTGACATCCTTTTGAAGAAAGGTAACAGGAGTTCATTCTCCTGGCCTTCGGTGTTTAGGGATTGAGGTGAATTGCTGTCTAGGCTTAACACAGGGTTTTCTTTATTCTCCAGTGACACGAACACGGTGGTGGGGCTGCCCAGGCCAATCCATGAAAGCATCAAGACTCTGAAACAGGTAGGTGGCTTTGGATGAGCTTTTGACCTACTTTGGCCCCAAGTGAGTAAAGTGAGAGCAGTCCATTGGGAGAAACCTTTTTAAGACTGTTGTCTGCCTGAAGGAACCTGGGGTGGAGGCATAGGTGGACCGTAGCGATACCCTTTAATACAGCTCTTTGTAAGTTCTATTTATTTTAGTTGAGTTTTTGTTGGGGACTTAACTGAGAGTTTATTAAAGGTAGTACTTGATAGGTGGAGTTTTATTTTTTATTTTATTTATTTTATTTTTATTTTAATAGGTGGAGTTTTAAAGGGCCTGATAAATAGCCCTCCCTTTTCCAAGTCCAAGTTCTAAGGCAGTTGAGATAGAGGAGTAGGCAGATGGAAATCGAAACACCAGCTTTATTGCTGATAGAGCGACTGGACGATGAGGCATAAGAACACAGCGATGATAATGCACCCTAATGCTTTACTTCCAGAATTAGGTGGACTCATCTACCCAGGGTCAGGCAGTGCTGGAACCCTGCTAAGCCTGGTTGAGGAGCAGAAGAGAACATAGGCTTTTCTTTTTTCTAAAGTGAAAAGAGAAGGTGGTTGGGCTCAGAAAGTCCTGTTCCTCTCCCGATACTCACTAGTCGGCAAAGGGAGGAGTGAGTGTGTGGAAAGGGGCAGGGGAGAGCGGGGTTTTTTTTACACGTGCATATCCCTCCATGTGGGAGGAAACATCAAGAGTGGGGAAGAGGTGTCTCCCCTGACAACATGTCAGGAGTGGAAATTTTGATATGTTTTTGAAATTTCTTTTTGAGATTTGTAGTATAAGTGAGTTAGGTGGGCCCTGTGCTGCTAGGCGTTTCTGGATCCTGGACTCTCCCTCTAATAGTTTTCTCCTGTCTCTATGGTTATCTGAAAAGCCCCTTTCCTTTCCTTTGTTTTGTTTTTTTTTTCTAATCTATCGTGTGCTTTTTAGACTGGGTTTAAGAAATATATGCCAACGGGGGCACCGGGGTGGCTCAGTCGGTTAAGTGTCTGCCTTGGGCTTAGGTCATGATCCCACGGTCCTGGGATCGAGTCCTGCATCGGGTTCCCTGTTGGGTGGGGAGTCTGCTTCTCCCTCTGCCTCTGCCCCTCCCCCCACCCCTGGCTCATGCTCACTCTATGTCAAGTGAATGAATACAATCTTTAGAAAAAATTAAAAAAGAAAAAAAAAAAGAAATATGTGCCCACTTAGAAAAATATTTTAGGACTTAAGTTAGGGATCTTTGTGGTGACTTAGTCCTCTTTGAGGAGATTGTGTCTGAAGAAAATCGAGTGGGGTCTTTGCCAGGGTGTGGGGCTTGGGCCAGAGAATGAGAGGTGTTGCTCTGCTCTCTCTCCAGCACAAGTACACGTCGATTGCAGAGGTCCAGGCACAGATGGAGGAGGAGTACCTTCGCTCTCCTCTCTCGGGGGTGAGTCCGAGGCCTTCTCTAGCCACCAGGCACTGCGCTGGCCCAGACCGCAAAGCTGCCCCAGGCCCTGCCCTCAAAGCTCCCAGTCTCGCTCCCACTGCAGGGGTGGCTTGGGTCTGTGTGGGGGTCCAGGGCGCCGACTCTGAGCCTGTCACCTGCCCCTGACTCCCGGCTCCATCACTCAGTAGGTGGCCACTTAGGCAAGTTACTGGCTCTCGCTGTGCTTTAGTTTTCTCGCCTGTAGAATGGGAATAGTAGTAGTGCCTTCTTCACAGAGTTGTAGTGTGGATTAACTGAGTTACTACAGGTAAAGTGTCTCACACGTTGTATTATTCAAGGTTTGCCGTCGTTATTTACATCGGTACTTACAGATGCTCCTCTAGCCACCTAGCAAGCTGGCTCAGGAGACCAGTTGGGACAGGGGTTTTGTATTTGTACCTATTGTGTTGAAAGGGAGAAGAGGAAGTCGAGCAAGTACCTGCAGAAACCCTCTACCAAGGCTTGCTTCCCAGCCTGCCTCAGTATATGGTGAGTGCTCCTGCTTTTGGGGTGTTGCCTCCTCCTCAGGAGTACTCTGGGTCTGGGACCGTCCCCACTACACTGGCCTTGAGAGCACGCCCTGCCAGTGTCCTTCAGCCCCTCCTGCCACCCACCTGAGCTCCTCCGGAAGGACTTCCTCTCAGGGCTCAGCTCTGCTTCTCCCCAGATCGCGCTGCTGAAGATCCTGCTGGCTGCAGCCCCCACCTCAAAGGCCAAAACGGACTCAATCAACATCCTAGCAGATGTCCTGCCTGAGGAGATGCCGTGAGTAGTGTTCCCGTGAACGGAGCAGGTCAGGGGCCGCAGAGTAGAGGGGAAAGGGAAGTGTTTTCCCTATCGGTCCCAGTCTTGCTAGGTTGTCTCTCTCTTTGGCTCAGTTTCTCTGTAGGTTAAGTTTAGGGTATTCCTGGCTCAGAAGAAAGAAACTGTATCAGATTAAATGTTTAGTTTTACCGGTTGGGGAAGTGGCTTAATGTGGTGGGCCTGGATTCTGGTATGGATTCTGCCACTGAGTGAACTTGGGAAAAGTCTGCCACTGAGTGAACTGGAGAAAAGTCGTTTCCTCCTCTGTAAAATGAATCAGGCGGTGTTAGACATTTCCCGAAACCCTCCCTCGAAAGCTGTGTGATCAGGACATCCAGGAGGTGTAGGTTTAGCTTCCGGACACTTCACCAGCCAACAGCTGAACCTGAGCTGGGTGTGGATTCTTTTCTCTTCACTGGTGATTTGGCATGCAGAATATTTGTGGGTATCTCAGGGCGCTAGTGAAATCCTTAGGGGTGGTTTTTCCCTGTGGCACTGACCTTGCTTTGATATGAGAGTACAAACCGAGATCGTTTTCTGCTTTGAGAAGGACCTGGGCCTTGATCTGACCTCCAGCCTGCCTGCCAGTACCACCCAGGTCTGAGCCCAGTTCCCTGGGGGCTGGGCCTCTTGAGTCTGGCAGTGATAGCCCGGTGAGGGAGGAGGCAGGGATTGGCTAATACCAAAGGGAGTGTCCCAGAACACTAGGCCGTCATGATCCTTGGAAGAAGGGTTTCCGAGTCAAATACTAATTTCCTCTTACAGAGATTTACAGTGAGAAGCCCTGAATTAAGACACCGATTTAACTTAGTGCTTCTTTTATTTATCTGACTTCCAAAGCCCTTTTTTCTCCATAGTATGAAACGTCTCAATGTATTGGTATTCCACAGAATACACTTTGAGGGACCCAAGTTCATATGGTAGCAAAAGCTTAGGAAGAACTTGAAAAGGAGAAGTTCATTTTCTGAGAAATCAGGGAAGCAGGCTAAGAATGTGTTAGGGGCCTCACAAGAAATACATTGTGCTGAGCTGGATTGCCTGAGAGGTGGGCGGAAGGAGCCCCGGGCCTGATCTCTGAGATGTCCGTGGGGCTGGGGGGTGAAGCGGGGCCCTCTGCCCAGGGAAGGCTCAGGAATCCCATCTCTCCTGTGAGCACCAGGAACGGCTGTGCTGTACATGCTGGTGGCTCACCCGGGGAACTGTGTTTTCAGCACCACGGTGTTGCAGAGCATGAAGCTGGGGGTGGATGTGAACCGCCACAAGGAGGTCATTGTTAAGGCCATCTCTGCTGTCCTGCTGTTGCTGCTCAAGCATTTTAAGTTGAACCACGTCTACCAGGTACCTGCAGGGCCTTCCCATTCACTGGGCCAGGGCCTCAGACATTGCTGCTCCTCCGGCCCCGAAGAACCGAGGCCTTGACCTTCAAACCCCCTTGAGCCTTGCATGAATGTTTTAAGACACAGTCCTCTGACCAAGGCCTTTTATCATTGGAGGAAAGAGGGTGAGGTCCTAAAGGGCATGCTATTCCTTTCTGTTGGTTCCAGTTTGAATACATGGCCCAGCACCTGGTGTTTGCCAACTGTATCCCTTTGATCCTAAAGTTCTTCAATCAAAACATCATGTCCTACATCACCGCCAAGAACAGGTGATAAGGATGAGGGAGCAGGAAGGGGTGGGTATGGCCAGATGGCAGGGCTCCTGGCTGGCCTCTCCTCCTGAGCCCATTCAGCCCCTACAAGCCAGCACTCTGCCAGGCCTCAGGACACAAAGATGAATGAGACACGGTCCCTGCTGTGGAGAATGCCAGTGTGTCGAGTCTGAGTCTAGCCACTCTAGTGACAGGTGACTCAGTCTGTGCCTGGGTGGGAGGGTTCTCATCCAGGGCTCCAGTACTGTCCTCACTGTTCGCTGGTTTTTTGAGGAGACTGGCCAGGCCTCCTGCTCTCTGAGGGCCTCCGCCATGTGCACTGTAAAGCCCTATCTGCTCTTACCCCTGCCCTGCTCGCCTGGGCCCACTGTGTTTGATGGTGCACCTCAGGGTGAGCTCTCGGCCAGACACTCTCTCCACTAGGGGCTTGGCATACATTAATTGCCTTGAGAAATCTTCCCCCTGGCCCCAGGCTCGTTGCTGTGGGAAGGCAGGGGTCTCTGGACCTTACAAGATGGCGGGCTGGTCTCTGGCCATAGTAGGACCCTACAAGTTCTGTGGTAGCAGGGATTTCATCTCCTGTAGCTGGCGGGACAAGGGGGGTGCACACAAGGTGGAGTCCTGCTTCTGCTCCCAAGTGAGGGAGGAAGGCCAGGAGCCAGCCCTGTCGCAGCTGCTTCACCAGCCCACAGCCTTTGCTCAGGGTGGGCGCCCAGCTTCTCTTGCTCTCCGCAGCATTTCTGTCCTGGATTACCCCCACTGCGTGGTGCACGAGCTGCCGGAGCTGACCGCCGAGAGTCTGGTGAGTGGCTGTATGCTTCCCTGGCTGCTCCTTTGGCGTGAGGGGTGGTGGTGGAGGGCCTGCCTCCCCCGACACAGGGATAGAGGTGTTCACATGGGAGGTCACTGTTGCGGACTGGCTTTTAAAGGACCAAAATGGCATAGAAGGGCCAGAGGAGGGAGCTTGCCGAGGGGAAAGATGTGGATATACAGGGAGTAGGTCATCAGGAGCATGGTCTTCAGGGGCTGCTGATCCAGGGCTCACCTGGTCGCGTGGCTTCGCTCTCCCACACTGGATCTCCGTGGGGCACAGCTCTGAGGGAGCTGGGTGCGGATGCCCCAGCTTTGGGGGCTAAGGGCACAGTCCCCAAAATCATGCTCCACGTTTCCTGCAGAAAAATTCTAGGGAGCTCCCTTTCCCCTGCCAAGCTCTGGGATGGAAGTCCTCCTGGGCTGAGGAGCGGAAGGCCTGGCAGTTCCGAGAGAGGCGTGCGGGCCATGGACACTGCTGAGCACCCTGCAGCTATGAGGGTTATAACTGTTCTCGGGTTCTCCCTGCAGGAGGCAGGTGACAATAACCAGTTTTGCTGGAGGAACCTCTTTTCCTGTATCAATCTGCTTCGGATCTTGAACAAGCTGACAAAATGGAAGCATTCGAGGACCATGGTGAGCTAGTGCAGTCAGCGGGCACACGACTTGGAAGTCAAGGCAGAGGGCCATACCCCGTGCTGTCCCCTCCCAGGGTGTCCCCGGGGCAGGCTTGCTGCTGCGCCTACCCCCTTCTCACCGGACTCACTGTTGCCACGTCCTTGCGTTTAACGGCTCGTTCCTGGTTCCTCGCTGAGTTGAACTGGAAGCTAGAAGAGGCTCAGTCATGCCCTGAAGCCAGTGGACACTTAGAGAAGGGATTTTTCTATGTCCTTTTAACATCCACTGGTAACACAACCGGGATTCTGGGAGTCTCCCTTAACCCTGAGTCTGAGGATGCATTTGGGGTGGGGAGGTCCGTGGATCCTTGGAAATTTTCCATACACGCGCATAGGAACGTTCCCGGTGAGTGAGTTCACGGCTTCCCTCAGATTTCACGATGACCCATGATTTTAGTTGTGGGAGTCCCTGTCCCGGGAAACCCCTCAGTCTGGGGAGACGGAGATGGTCGGTTCCCCTGCCTGTAACCCCAAAAGGGGTGAGCAGCAAGGTGGTCGTGCAGGTGTTGATCTCTGCCCTTGATCCGGCCCTCTCGTGGCCCTTCCAGATGCTGGTGGTGTTCAAGTCGGCCCCCATCCTGAAGCGGGCCCTGAAGGTGAAGCAGGCCATGATGCAGCTGTACGTGCTGAAGCTACTCAAGGTGCAGACCAAGTACCTGGGACGGCAGTGGCGGAAGAGCAACATGAAGACCATGTCTGCCATCTACCAGAAGGTGCGGCATCGGCTGAACGACGACTGGGCATACGGCAATGGTAAGGCTCTGGCGCGAAGCTGGGGGGGTGCCTTTCCCTCTGAGGAACCCACAGAGTCCAGTTCCTGCTTCTCTAGCATCCGGATAAGAGCTCCAAGAACGACTTTGAGAAACTGCCTGGGATTGGCGCATGTGATCACCCCCAGTCCTCTGTCCCCTGGAAGGTGTTCCTTTTTCAGAAACTGTCACAAGACAACTGCCCATCTTTTCTCTCCCTACCGCCACTGCCTTGGGTCTGACCACTGGAATTCTCACAGACCCTGATGGCTTCCTTGCCCCTCTTTTCTTCCCCTCTGTCAGTGCCTCAAACTGAGCCCCAGTGATCTTTTTTTAAAAATTTTTATTTATTTTCAAATTTCTTTTTTAAGATTTTATTTATTTGTCAGAGAGAGAGCACAAGCCGGGGGAGCGGCAGGCAGAGCAGTGGGAGAGGGAGAAGCAGGCTCCCTGCTGAGCGAGGAGTCCGATGTGGGACTCGATCCCAGGACCCTGGGATCATGACCTGGGCCGAAGGCACTTAACCGATGGAGCCACCCAGGTGTCCCCCCAGTGATCTTTCTGAAAAGCAGATCCTGGGGTGCTAACTCCCTGAGTAAAATCCTTCATTAGCTTCTGATTTCCCTTACAATTTGAGCCGAACTCTTAAGCAAGGCATGTGAGGCTGGCCCAGCGTCCCTTCCCCTCCTGCGTAATCTGACCCAGCTTCTCTTCAGCTCAGCGTCCGTCACATGCAGGGATCTTGGCCCATTAGCCGTGTTGTCCCCCATGTTTCTTGCTCCCGGCAGGGCGCCCCCCTCGTACCCGTAACTGTTCGGTACCCACACGTGTCCTTCCCGTCCGGGCGGCTGCGTCGGCCTCCAGGCAGGGTGGGCTCTTCCTGGGCTTTCCCGAGCGCGCTGCCACGCCGTTCCGGTTCCTTGCCCACGGCCCCACGGCCAGGTGACCACGTCAGCACCCCAGTGCCCTGTGGATTTGTGTGGAGCTGGAGTGGCCCCCAGTCCCTGGTCAGGGCACTGAGAGAATGAGCAAATGAGGGGCTCTGCAGCTTCCTGCCATCCATCCCAGAGAGCCAGGGAGAAGGTGACTTCAGAGAAGCGTGTCATTCCTGTGGCTCTCCCTGGCTGGGTCCCCCCCAAAACTGCAGTGTGGCCTCTTTCTCTGTAGATCTGGCCTCTCTCTTTTCACCTGATTTTCCTTTGTATCGAAGTAAAAAGTCCCATCAGTCTTCCTGAGGATGGGGATTGGAGGTCTCCTGCTTGGGGCTGACAGCATTTTGAGTCAGGGTCAGGCTGGCCCCGAGCTTCAGTGAACCCACCAGGGAGCTGCCATGAGGGCTCAGCTCCTAAACATGTCTTCCCGCTTTGTCCCAGATCTTGATGCCCGGCCTTGGGACTTCCAGGCAGAGGAATGTGCCCTCCGTGCCAATATCGAACGCTTCAACGCCCGGCGGTACGACCGGGCCCACAGCAACCCGGACTTCCTGCCTGTGGACAACTGCCTGCAGAGTGTCCTGGGCCAGCGGGTGGACCTCCCTGAGGACTTCCAGATGAACTATGACCTCTGGTTAGAAAGGGAGGTCTTCTCCAAGCCCATTTCTTGGGAGGAGCTGCTGCAGTGAGGCTCCTGGGCAGGGGACTGACAAGGAAAGAAGGGCTGACCTGGAGGTGCCCCAGGGGCTGTCCCGGTCCGTGGCTGCAGTGCTCCCACCTCCCTCCAGGTGGCAGCACAGCCCCACTGTGCCCTCCCTAGGCCGAGCTGGGCTGCTGGGGGAGGCTAGATTTGGCCCCTCGTTGATTCCCAGCGTCCTGCACCGAGTTCAGTCTGCTCTCTACTTGAGGTCCGCTCTTCCTTTACTCCTCCCCACCCTCTTGGACATGGTTGGTTGCAGCTCATTTCTCGTTCAGGCCAGGGCTGGGAAAAGCTGGGGTGGGCTGGGAAGCTATTGCATCTGAATTGCAGGGGTCATGCTGACTCTTCCAGAGACACGCAAATCCTTGGCATGTCAGCCTGCCAAGGAGGAGGGTCGGGGCCAGAAAGTCGAAATCTTTGGTTTTGCTTTGAAGGGTTTCTGATGTCATTCCAGCCTCTTGCTAAGTTTCATCCAGAAGCAATTGCAGAGGCTCCTACAGCTGCCTCAGTGCTTTGATTTTGGGCAGGGTTAGGGGGTAGGAAGAGAAGCTTCCCTTAACCAGAGGTGCCATTTTTCCTCTTGGTTTGCGAGGGTTTGTAAATACCTATATATAAATCTCTATGTATTCTCTTGTGTCACGTTGGGGTTTTTAACGTGTTTGTGTATTCTGTTTACATTAAAAGGAAGCAAAACCAATCCCCATTGCCGTGTCTGCAGGAAATACGGCCCCTGAATATTTCCTCAGGTCTAGAAAGTGGCTTTTCCTGCCAGCATTGATGGGCCACCCACTTGTTCCCTGCCAGGCTGCCTGCCTTTCCCATCTGAGGGGGAGAAACGGGGAGTTGGCACTTATCCAGAGTGTTTTTTCCCCACATCAATCTGGAATCGCTTCAGCCCAGCTCCAGGGCTCCGGGCTGCTGGGGTGACCAGTTGTCCTGTATCTCTGGGTTTGATGTAATTGCAGTAGAAGCCCCAGGCATCTCTGGATCACACTCCTGAGTTGGCCTCCACCAAACCAATTTCAGTGCTAGCGAGGGAGGGGCTGGGTCAGAGAGGGGGTCAGCTGCTATAGGCCTAGCAAGGGTAGGTGGTTGGGACTGAGAGGAAACCTCTGTGACCAGAGCCTGGGGAAGCGGTCAGCTTCGCAGTGGGAAGGAGTGTGTTGGGGGAGCCCACGTTGCTGGGGAAGAGGCAAGGAAACTCTCTGTGGTAGGTGTCAGTTTGAGGTCTCGTGGAGCCTGCACCTGGCCCTCAGATCTGGACACATCCGCTTTCACCTACTTCCATCTTGAAGCTCTGTTTCTGCTGCGGGTGATATGATAGGACTGTTCTCTTTTCAGAATTGCTTGAAGGTCCCTTATCTTACCTGTGGGCCATGTGTATGAGGTCTTAAGTCTCTGAGGGGTCTTGGCTTACAAAGGAAATGTACTCTGGGGAAAATCTCCCTTTTGTTGGTTCAGTGCCTGCCTGGCCTGGGTCTTGGCTGAGCCTCAGTGTAGGCCCCAAGCTGGGCTTCCAGGATAAGTCTGTATGATTTGGAGCAGCAGGGGCAAAGCCAGCACTGTCCTTTTTCTGTAAGTCACACAACCTCTGAGGTGGGAAGTCCCTGTGACTGACTGACTTTTTGCCCCTTGGTAACTTGCTTCCAGACAAGGGACTCTGACACGATTTGTGTGTGCGTGATGGATTTTCTACTGTTCCTTGCCAGGACCGATAGGAAGTATGTATCATGAGATTTTAGTTCGGGTAAGATAGATTTTCACATTCATACTCCACTCATTGAACCAGCTTGTCTGAAGTTTTGCTTCCTTCCCCTTTTCTGAAGCTTCCCTTAGTCAGAGGTGCAATTTTTTCCTCTTGGTTTGCAAAGGTCTGTAAATACCTATATATCTAATTTATATTTCAGTTTGTACAAAAAAGAACACAGATTATCAAAGCTGCAAGGGCCATGAAGCCTGAGTGGGCGGGTGAACCCCTGCATCTGTAGGCCCAGGGGCTGGCCCAGGAGAGGAAGAGCCTTTTCCCAGCCACAGAGTGTGCTAGTGGTAACGTGGCCACCCTATCTCTGTGGTTTTCTTTCTCATCTGGCTCCCGAGATGGGCAGGGTACATGAAGGCCTTTTGTAAACGGTTGAGTTACACAAAATGTTGGTTATTGCTAACCAGGCTCAAGGTCCAGGGCTCCTTCCATCCACTGAGGGATGGGTTACCTTGTGGCCGTATCATCTGAGGGAACTGGCAGTCAAAAGCGTTACCACTTACTGGGTGCCACATAGGTACCAGGCCCAGTACTGATGCTTCTGGAAAGCTCATTTTCCACACAGGAGCCAGCCAGTACTCTGATGTTATTGTTTTTAATAACCCTGAAAGGTATCAGCATTGCAGGGCCTATTTTGCACATGAGAAATGGGCACAGAAAGGGTAAAGAACTTGCCCAAGGGCACAAAATAATGAGAGCCAGAGCCTGGATACAACCAACGTCTCTGCTAAGTGTATGTCCCATGCCCCCCCTCCACACACACACACACACACACACACACACACACACGCACACTCTTTCTCTAATGAATCATTTTGATTTCCCAGCACTTACCACCAAGGCATTCATTTGCTCTTTTATTCCCTTTAGTGAGTACCTTTTTTTTTTTTAATTTTATTTATTTATTCATGAGAGACAGAGAGAGAGAAGCAGAGGGAGAAGCAGGCTCCCCACTGAGCAGGGAGCACGCCGTGGAGCTCGATCCCAGGACCCTGGGATCATGACCTGAGCCAAAGGCAGACGCTTAACCATCTGAGCCACCCAGGCACCCCCTTTAGTGAGTACTTAATCTTTGCTCAAGCATGGTCCTTGGCAAGGAGATTGTTGGCAAATGTCCACTAGGCCTTGCCCTGGCTTCTAATGTGCCCCAAATGTGCCCTTGTCCAGGTAGTTTGGGGGCTGTCGCTGCCACCTTCCTTTTCAGCCTGAGCCTGGGCGTCTTGCTCTCCTGGGTCCCAGAGGACTCGCGTGTGGCTGCCCCACCGTTCCTGTTAGGCCTCTGTCCCGAGCGGCTGGCTTCCTGTCTGTCCTCTCATGAACCGACTTGGGGAAGCAGTACTTGTACCATTCATACGTCACTCAGCACAGTCAGCTTTGGGCTGCAGGCTCGCATTTACTCACTGAAGGACCTTGAGCTCATCAAGCTCGACGCCTCAGTTGGCTTATCTGTAAAAACTGGTTTAATAACAGCAAGGTGGTCACGAGGGCTGAATAAGATAGTGGATGATGGCTCTACGGACCTGGCTGAGGAGGGACAGCACGGCTCGTAAGTGACAGCTACTCGTAGTCCTGCTAAGGGCCCTTCCAACTCTGGCCCACTCTGAATTTGCTTCCACTTCCTGAATCCCCTGGAAAAGAGACCACCCCCGCCTTCAAGGACCAGAACAATGTCTTAGGGCTCCTCCTGAGCTCACTGCTCTGTATACAGAAGGCTTTCAAAAGTCAGCCATTCACCCAGCCACCCTGCTGTCCTGCCTTGAAGGCCTCTTCTCTGGGCCAGGCCTCGTTCCAGGAGCCCTGGGCGTCCAGATGAACAGAACACCACACCCTCTCACTTTCCTTGTCAGTCGATAGACGGGTGGCTACGAGAACAAGCGAGAGCAGTAACGTGGTGGGCACCGAGACAGACGTCCGCGGGGCCACCCAGGCTCTACCGGCCCCAGCCAGTGCCCTGGAGAAGAGACTGGGCAGGGGAGGCTGCCGTGGGTGAGGGGCGGGCGCGGGGGCTCCGAGAGCATTGCCCCTGGGGAGAATGGTGAGGATAAGCCTGAGGCAGAGGCTGGGGCAGGAGTGAGGTGTGTGCTCCCTCTGCCTGATACAGGGAATGCCCGGCTCCTGGCCAGGTGGGGCCGGGCTCGGTTCCTGTCTGGAGCTGCAGAAGGTCTGCACTTGAGGGCTGTAATTCAGGTTGATGTGTAAATGCCTGGGGGGAGGTGGGGAAGGAAGATTGAATGCCTCTCATGAGAAGCATTTCCTCACACGGGACTGAGCCCAGAAGCCTGGACTGAAGGGCCCGTTAGCGAGGGCTCTCCGCTCTGGGCCTGGGGTCTGTGCCCCTGCCAGCACCGAGATTTAAGGCTTCTCTGGGTGGGCCTCACTGGGGCAGAGTGGGGCCTTAGCAAAAGGACATTGAGCCTAGCAACTCTCTTAAATTTGGGATTCCAGATGGGGCCACTTCCCCTTTCCTTTTCCAGAAGGGGATGAGCACAGCCCCCAGCCTGGCCTTTGGCCTAGGTTGAGAGCTGAGGTCACCTCTGGAGTGAGGCTGGGGGCAGGGGCATCTGAAGACCTGGGGACTGAATCTTAGGGGTGAGATGCCTAGGGTGTGGAGGAGGAGGGGAGGCTGGGAGGATGGCTAATGGGAAGCAGGTGGAAGGGCTGCCTGTGTCCCAGCCAGGGGACAGGCCGGCTGGGATGGCCCAGTCAGTGGGAGAAGCCATCAGCTCACAGATAATCCCAGGGAACAGGCTCCGGGATGCCCATTCATATTCATTATGTGTGAAGTGGGCGGTTGTAAAGTTAGCTTTCTCTTCATTTAGCTGTCACTGGACAGAGAAATATGAGCTGTGGGCAGATGCCCCTGGATGGGAGCCAGTAGCTGGTCTCTGGCCTCCCCGTGCCCTCCTCCGCCAGGGCCTCCCTCCCGCGCGGTTCGCTCCCAGCCTCCGCCTGCCTCCTCCACTCCTGCTTCGGGGATCTCTCTCGGCTTTACCGCCTTCTCTTCTCTCATCCCTCTCTTCCCCCACCTCTGCTTCCTTTGCTTTCACAGATCCTTTCCTCCCCGTGCACCGCACTGCCCCCACCCCCCCCACCCCCGCCGCCCCGAGCTGTGTGAGAGAGGGAATTGTGGTTTTTTTCTTGACCATTGTTCTATCTCTGGCACCCAGCACAATGCTTGGCACAGAGTGGGCACTCAATAAATATTTGTAGAACAAACTAACCTTTCTGCATCTCTCTGACTTGGTGACACAGAACTCCAAAATCTTGCTGCCCACTCCTTGGGTGAAGAACCTTCTAGTGCACTGGTCTCAGCCCTGAGTTAGAAGTGTGGGTTTGAGGCCCAGTCATTATTGACCAGCTGTGTGAAGGGGGTTGTGTTCCTCGGAGGTGCTGGGGCTGCTTCTCCTTACTGCTCCGACTCTTCCCTTCCTGATGGATGCAGGGCTCTCGCGTGGACCTCAGAGCCAGCATCAGTACCGAGAGGAGAGAAATCACCAGCAGCCAGGCCCTCGAATGAAGGGAAGGGAAGGAAGACACTGGTTTCGTCTGAGGGGAGCTTGAGCCTAGTCACACTGACTGTCTTAGAGGAAAATCTGATCTGATGGGGCACTTGCTCTCTCTGGGAACGAGCACAGCACTGGCGTCTTTGTGTGCTCGGGTTTCTCTGTGCCTGGAAGAGGCTACTAGCCGAGGCTGAGCTCTGAGCAATGTGGTTGTGTTTACTGGGAGGGTGGGAGGGCCGGGCCTGCTTTCTTCCTGCCTTCCAGGCTGCAGAGATAAGGCAGAAAGTGGGGATGAAGGGTAGAATGGCTAATACTCTGAAACCACAAGAAAGAGTCCTGGCTTTTGTCTCTGCCCCACAGCTCAGACATGTTCCTGGGGCATCTGGGAGAAGGGGGTTGCCTCACCCCCACGGTTCTGGCCCAGGGGAGCTCAGAGCCCTCAGTGGACTCACCCATCTTTCATTCCAGGCCCCCTTCCACTGCCAGTTCAGCCACACGTTTATCTCTGCCTTCCCACCCCAGCTCCCCATTTTCCCTTCCACATGGGCCCAGCAGCCCTCGAGCCGATCCTAGGCAGGTGAAAGGGCCAAGCGTGGCATCTATCGGCCTTGGGGGCCCTGCTGCAGGCCCACCTTCCCCTAGCCCCCAGGATCCCCGCTGGCCCCTTAGGAAGGCCTGGCCCAGCCTGAACCCTGGGCACAGACCAGCTAATCCACTGTCAAACCCTGAGGATACACAATCACCTGGTCTAAAAAATACTGCCATCTTTATTATTATGCTGGGCAGCGCACTTTTTTTTTTTTTTTTTTTACAAAAGTGGGGTTTGAGATCTCAGGGGCTTAGAATTTGTGGAAGTCTGTTTTATTCTTACCAACATCTAATGATTAAACCAAGGGAGCCTACAGTTTCTATGGCATAGCTCTGGCCTGAGCCCATAGAAGAGAATCCAAATATTTGGTGGTTTCTGGTGGACTTTCTGCCCCCTTGGAGGGGGTGAGGACTCCATGGCATGTTGGGGGAGGGGGCACAGGGCAGGAGTAAGGGGTGGCTGGAGCTGGGGCTCCGGGCACCTTTTCTGGCACCTTTTCCCCGGTGGCCTTCAGGCCCTTGTGAACTCCAGACGCTGAGCGCTCGCCCCCTGGTGGTGGGAGGGGGAGTCGGGCTGGCCCTGCTGCTCCTGCTCCAACACTGGTTTCCCCTTGGTCACAAAGAGCTTCTCCTGGTTCAACCTGTGTCATCATCCTCTTGTTTTCCTGGGTTCCCTGAATGAGGAACCAATTCAGCCATTTCAGCTGGAGGGATGACACTTAAACTTGGACAAAATCTGAAGGAAGCAGGGCAGTGTCTTCCTCCCTCCAGCCCAGAGTCGGATGAAGGGACCGACCCAGTGTGTGGTAGGAAGAGTCCTACCTGCTTTGCAGCCCCCTTTGTCCTGAGCAGTCCCACCTTATTTTAAGAGAAAAAAAAAAACTCTAGCTTGTTCCCTGTGGGAGGCTGAGGATCCCAGCTGCTCTGCCTGGGCCTCCGGGAACCGACTGGGGCTTGGAGGCAGAGGTGTGCCCTCTCTGGCATCCAGGCTGGGGTGGGGTGGGAGCAGCTGGGAACAGAAAAAGGGGGGTGGGCAGCTTAGTCTGCATGTCCACGCACCCGATCACGTGGTCCAGTTCAGTAGGCTGGGTGGCTCCTTGGACTTCACCCTGAGCGAGATGAGGCTTGGAGACTTATAGTCGCCATCTGGGGTAGGCTCAAAGCTGTGGCCCCCCAGGGCAGGGGAGAAGCCATGGATGGAGTAGATGCCAGGGTGGGCTCCGGGGGAGGCTGGCACCCCCATGAAGCCAGCCACATTCCCATGAGAGTGGGAGTATGGAGACATGCACGGGGAGGGCATGCCCTCTGGAGACACGAGGCAGGGGCCGGGGGGGCTCCCGGACCCTGGACTGGGCCACAGGGAGTTCTGCAGCTGAAAAGAGAGACAGAAAAGAAGGCCCATGAATCAATAGCCCAGGGGCTGCCTCCCTTACCTGGGGGTTCTGTCTTTGCCCTTAGGGCTCCAGAAACTTAGCAGGAAACCTCCACTTGGCCCAGGTCTAGAATCTGCTCCCGCCTACCCCCGACACTTGAAATGGCATCTCAGGAGCCCCCTGCCACTGCGCCTCCAAATGAGGTTTACTTCAGTACCAGCTGTTCGGCATGCCTCATTCACAAGACAGGGAGGAGCCCCACTTTGCAGAGGAGAAGTGATTTACCCATGGTCCCGCAGAGTCCTAATGCTGCTTCAGGTCTCCCTGGGGCCCGCGCTACCCTGGGGGATGTGGCCAGGCCCTGACGCAGGGCCAGCTGGGGTCTCACCTGCGGGTGGCTGTCTGTTCGGGGCAGCACAGAGATGTCATAGGCAGATGTGAAGGGGTTCCGCCCCTCCTGGATCTTCCCGTAGCGCTCACGCTTCCGCCACTTCGCTCTGCGGTTCTGGAACCAGACCTGGGGACCGAGGTGAGAGGCTGAGGGAGTGACAAAGCGGCCCTGAGGAATAGAGCCCGCTGGGGAGAGAGTGGGTGGGGGTGTCCTCCTGCAGGATGGGGAGCTGGCTCCAGCTGGAGGATCTTGAGCTGCAGCAGCCTGTAAATCCCTATTGTTCTCCAGGCCAGGGAACCGGGGGGGGGGCGGGGGGGGCTTCTTGGTCCCTTGGGCCACCCCTCACCCCCAGTCACCAGGCTGAGTCACTCTCTTGGTTCTCCAGCCCGCTTGTGCCACTAAGGGTGTCGTGGGATCTGTGGCCTCAGAGGCTCTGGGCACTGCCTAGGCATATCAGGGCACAGGCCTCTAGCCCCCCTGCCTCATCTCCATTCCCAGGCTCCCCACCTCCCATCCTCAGCCCAGAGCTCAGCTCCTTAAGGCCCCTGGGCACTGAGCCCTGCCCTTCTCCGCAGCCTCACCCCCAGCCAGGCAGTATGGCTTGATTCTTCCTACTTGCCTCTCAGGCCAGCTTGCCTTTGAACGCATCTGCTACCTTGCGACTCCCTGCCTCACCTCAGCCTTCCCCTGCCTGGGCTTACTGCCTCACCCCAACACACACGCATATGTCACCGATGGCCTGGGTGATGCGCCGGCATCTCCCTCGTACTCACCACACCCTATTACCATTGTCCCTTTTGCCATCTGTGTCTCCCACTCATTTGGGAGCTCCTGGCAGGTGAGGGTGGCCTCCCTGTGTGCTGTGCGCATCTGTGTACCTATCTGCGCCGAATCTGTCACTTGGCGGAGGCCCTGCGGCTGTTATATTTATGGTACCAGTGCATGCGTTTTGTATTTCTGTCATTTAATAAACATTTCTGTGTCAGGCTCTGGGCTAGATGTTGGCAATATCAAAACCAAACCGAACCAAACCATCCCCTTGCTTTCCAGGGATCTAGCTGGGAGCCATGACGAAGTTGTGTGTGTGTGTGAGAGTGTGTGTGTGTGAAAGGAACCCCACCTTGGCCCCTCACACACGCCCCCACGGTGGCCGTTCCTACTGCGCAGGCAGGTGAAGCCACGACAGTTAAGGAGCTTGGCAGGCCCCGAGCCCCCTAAGCCCCAGATGCAGAGATCCCAGAGCAGGCCTGGGGCAAGGTCAGGGACGGACCATCCCACCTGCCCAGCTGCTGGGCCTTTCCTTCTCTAGCCTCCCTCCCCCTCGGGTAGACGAAGGAGTCTGGACTGCTTCACTGGGCATTCTTCCCCATCATCCCTGGTTGTCTCTGCAGCCCCCACCATAGACTTCTGCCTGCACTTGGGCCTTGCCCTCTGCACTGTTCTGTGTGGTGGCTTACTGCTCTCCATGGGGTAGGGCCTACGGGTGGCTGTCACATTCCCATCAGAGAAAAGAGCCCTGTGGCCGCCCCTGCACCACTTTGGCATTGAAAAGGCCTGGGAGAGGAGTGGGGGGCTGCGCTCCGCCTCTCCAAGGCAGTGCCATGGCCACGGCTATCCAGAGGCTCGCAGAGCGTCCGGAGACTTGATGCTCTGGACTTCCGTGGCTCATGGACTCTGGGACTGTTGTAGAATGCTTGGTCTCTTACCCTGCCGGCCCAGGTCCTGGGGCGCCCTGGGAGGACAGTCCTAGAAGTGTGTTTTGGGTGCCGCCTGGGAGGAAAATGAAAGCAGGAGGACCCAGAAGGGAAGGGGAAGCAGCCCAAGCCCCTCTGGTCCTACGCTGAATCCAGCTGTAGGGCCTTCTCTGCTAGAAGGCAGCCAGCCTCTCCGTGGACTGGCCTGCCAGTCCCCATATTGGGCCAGAGGGAGGCCCCACACAGGTGTGCTATGTATGAGCTCTGTCCCAATTAGGTCTCCTCTGTGGTGGGAAAGAGAATCTCCTCTGTCTAGAGGTCACCTCCTCACCTCTCCTGAGAAGCCCAAATCCCACCCCTCTCCCAGTGCCTCCTGCTTGGCCTCAGGGAACCTGCTGTGCGTCACGCCAGTTCAAAGTCAAAGCAAGGCAACAACCACCATCTTCCTCTTGGGCCAGGCTTTTCCTGAAGCCTCCTTCCCCATCCCCACCCTCTGCTTGCCACCTTCATGTCCTTTCTCACCTCCGACATGTCTTGGACGTGGACTTCCCTTCTCCCTTTCCCCTGTTCCCAGCATCCCTCCGTCCCCTCACCCCCAGCCCCTACCTGAAGCTGGCCACAGCCCTACCCAGGAAGCCCTGCAGCCTGATCTCTGCTGGAGAGAGTTGGCTGGGTGGGGCAGGGCCCCTGGCCAGGCTCTCCCGGCTGGGGTCTGGGAGTTGGTGGGCCTGACAGTCGCTGGCTCGGGATGGCTTTGAGCATCACTGAGCTTCAAACCCCCCCCCAGTGGGGACCCTCCTGCTCTGGGCAGCTACCTCGGGAGTAGCCGGATGTGTTCAGCATTTCACTGCTTCCGAAAGGCTGTCACATCTGTGATCCTCAAAGACCATCCTAAGTAGGAAAAGCGAGACTGAGAGATCCAAGGACATGCCCCAAGTCACCTGGTCAGCTGGAAGTGGCAGAGCAAGGACTCCCAGACAGGTAGGTCTTTGGACTCCCAGAGGCCACCAACCCCATGAGGCACTTGGGCTGCAAGCCCGTGGCGGCAGCAGAGTTGGGCATGGAGGGGAGCCGAGGGCAGGCGGGCCGGGGGGCAGGCACCTGGGAAAGGTGGGTCTGCGTGGCACCAGCGCCCACCTCTCCCAGCCCTTCCACGGCCTGGCCCATGGTCGGGGTGGGAGACCACGTCCGGGGTGCCCTCACCTGTACCCGGGCCTCGGTGAGGTCCGTTCGCAGAGCCAGCTGCTCCCGGGCATACACATCAGGGTAGTGGGTTTTCTGGAAGACTCTCTCCAGCTCTTCCAGCTGGAACGTGCTGAAGGTCGTGCGGTTACGGCGCTTCTTGCTCTTGTTCTTGGCCAACTCCATGGAGTCAGGCAGTCCCGGGGACAGAGGGACCCGCAGGCTGGCCAGACAAGGGCCTGGGGAGCCTTGCAAGTTAGAGGCCCCGTCTCTGGGCCCCCCTCGGCAGTCCAAGGGCAGCTGGGGGAAGCTGGCAGCTTTGGAGGCCTTCTCCTCGGCTGCAATGGAAAACACAAAAAGGAGGATGGAAACCAAACCAGGGGGTTTTGTGGGTGGACTGGGGGAGGGGGCAGGACGTTTGACGCTTCAGTCCCCGCCTCCCCCTTCCTTTCTCTTCCCTCGTCCCAGCAGCCACCCTCCATGGGAGCCTGGCATTCGGAGGCCTGCTTGCTGAGCCTCCAGCTGGGGAGGGGGCCCTGGGGAACCATGTGCTCTGTGGTCTGGGCGGATCTGCTGGGGCCAGACGAGGGTTCATTTCGGGGAAGCGCTTTGTGGTGGTGTGGAGGTGCCAGGGTTGGCGCCATGGCAGGGCTTGGCGCAGAGGCGGGAGGAGGGGGTGAGCATGGGGTGGTTGACGTCTCCCACCCCTGCCAGGAAGTGCCTCCTTGGCCCTGGCTGTGGGTGGTGGGGGAGGGAACGTGGTTCCCAGGTCCTCATGCCCCTGCCTCCGGTCCCAGGTCCAGGCAGGGGACAGACAGGGACACTCAGATCCCCTTTGGCTGGTCTGGCTGTGCCCCATTCTTTGGACCCCAAATCTCAGGGCAATGTCAAATCCCCCAGCCCTGGGGCATGAAGGGCAAGATGGGGCAAAGAAGCGTCCAAAAAAGATTGTCTCGTTCCTCCGAAAATTGTGATGTTTGGGCCCAAGACTTGAGCTCCAGCATTAGAGACCAGGAGGTCGGCTATCTGCAGAGGAGAGTCAGCGCTTGGGGGGGCCAGTGTCAAAACAGGACTCAGCTCCCAACCCCATCACTCTGGCCATGGACTGCCCCCTCCCTCCTCAGCAGTTTCCAATGCCCCCCCCCCCCCATTGCCCATGACGATCAAACAGGGAGGGAGGACCTGACTGCAGCCGGGCACAGTTCCCAGCAGCCGCACTCTGACACGCTAACCTTCACTCGGCAGGCTTGGTGGAGCCCTGCCACAACCCGGTCATGGTGAAAAATAGGTCACCCTGATTGCTCCGCCCCCTCCTCTGGCGAGGCCCCCAGCGGCACTGCCATGAAATCTCCAAGAGCTCACTGGGACAGCAGGGGCACCGCCACAGAGACGCCCCACTGACTCACACAGCCTGGCCCCGGCCCTGGCCCATCCCCAGCAGGGGCCTGGGCCCCCGGAGGCCCAGCAGGCTGGCACCAGGAGGCTGTCTCCTCCTTGGGACTCGGGGTCAGGATCACAGCTATCATCAGGGAAGCATGGGACCAGAGAAGGGATTCTCGGGCTCGGGCTCTGAGGAGTCCCTGTCTGCGTTATGGAGGACAAGTCGGGCAAGGTCCCCCCAGCTGGAAGGTGATCAGGGACCTCCCAGAAGCTCCATGTTGTGAGAGGGTCCTGGAGGCCTGGCAGAGTCAGGGGACCTGCCCTCGGGCACCAAGCTCACAGCTCGGGCGGAGCATCGAGGAGAAAGTACACCAGCCACTGACTTCCATTCTTGGCCCACACATGTTTTGGTTCTAGAGGTAGTTCCATGGGCAGCAGCTTAGGGAGAAGAACTCATGGAAGCTGAGCCAAATAATTGAAAATGGTCAGGGGGAGTGGGAGACTGGAAGGGGACACCCCACATCTAGCAGGTTTGAGGGGGTGGTCTTGGAGTTCTGGGTTCAGAGGGAGGTCCTGCTGGACTCGAGGCAAAAAAAGGTGAGGGTGGCTCAGGGATGGGGATGAGGGGAGCACTGACATCACTACAGAGGGCCCCCCAAAGTTCTGAGGCTTTGCTCATCTGGCTCTTGGGCCCTCAGTGTCTGTCCGAACAGGATCTGTCCAGAGCAAGTGACTAGCTCTGGGCTCTGAGTGACCAGAGTAAGAGATAAAAGCACAGCAGGACTTTTCCGAATAGCCACCCAGAAAAGGCTGCTGGCCTCCACTGGCCTCCCTCACCTGCCCAGTCTACAGCCCTCCCAGGGGACCGGGGTACTTGTCCCCTCCTCATCGCCATGGCCCTGAAACCTCCATCTACCTGAAGGATTCGGGGGAGAAGCCGGCATCCCCCTCTTTGAGGGGATAGGGGCACACTTCCTAGAATGTCTCCTGAAGAGCAAGGTGCAGTGGAGAAAAGAGGGGAGGTGGGATCAGCTAAGGGCAGCAGTCAAGGAAAGGAAAGAAAGGCAGCGCCAAGTTTGAGTCTCAGCTTGTGAACAGCAGGGTGCACCAGGAGGCCCCCCGGCACTTTCCAGGTGTATGCAGGCTGTGTTTGGGGGTCACCTGCACCCGGTGGGGACACTGGGTGGTTAAGCGGGGAGTGTTTATGGTAGAAATTGGAATCCTGGGTCTCAGCACCAGGGGGTCCACAGCCTGCACAACTGCAGCACAACAGCAGAGGTCTGGCGGGCCAGAAAGACAGGAGCCAGGGCAAAAACCTCTGAGGCGGCCACGGGGCTCCGTCCCTGACCGGCTCCCACGCCCCGCTGCTCTCCTGCACCCTGGGGCCGCCAGAGCCCCCCGCTAGCGGCTCAGGAGCCGTACCGCCGGCTCCGGACGCCAACCGGGAGCCCCACTGCCCTCTCAGCTGGCGTCCACTGAGGCCGCCGGGCCCACCACCCGGCTTTCGGCCTCCGCGCGGTTTCCCACGCGATGCGCAGAGCTCGCAGAGGCCTGGGCTCTCGCAGCTCCGGCTGAAGCCGTCGTGTGCATAAACGCCGTGCGCGGGACCCCAGCGGGGCCTTGGTGCTCTCCCTAGAGTTTCCAGCTTTGCCCTAGACGCCTCAGCCGGCGCGGGGGCCCCTGACTTGGAATCCTTCACGAGGTCTGCGGTCGGTCCGGTGAGCGCGGCCTTCGGGATGCTCCGCTCTGGGCCTCCGAGGCGGCGGGCGCGTTCCCGGGTCAGAGAGCCAAGCCAGGGAGCGGACCGGGCGGCCCGCGGCGGAGCGGAGGGGGAAGGACCGGCCCGGCACTTCTCCGGCCCTCTGAGCAGCCGCGCTGCACCGCCAGGACGCGGCCGGGGTCCAGGGCAGGGCTGGGTGCGCTCTCGGCCAAGGGCGCCGCAAAGAGCGGGAGAAGCGCGCCAGGCTCTCCAGAGCGGGACTGCCCGGCCTCGGCGAGATCGCGCCGCAGATGGGGCGCAGCTGCGCGCTCACTGGTTTGAACTGGAAACGCTCGGAGCCCGTCAAGTTAGAAGCCGGGAAATAAGGCTGGTTCCCCCTTTGCCGCCCCTTCCCACCTCGTAGACTGCGTGGCCCGAGTCCCCCGGGGCCGTTCCTCCCCAGCAGCCCCGCTCCGCCGCAGGGTCGCAAGCGGCCCGCGCCCGCCGGGTTGCGGCCCCGGCATCCGCGAGGCGAGAGGCGGCCGGGGTCCCAGGCTCCGCTCGCACCCGCTGCTGCTGGTTTTCGTTTGGCCGTTCCTCCGCTCAACTTGAATCGTTAATTTTCCTCTCCCACTTGATTTTGCTGCTTTCTGCTCTGTTAGAATGTCCCTTTTTTCCTTTCATTTTTTTTTTTCCTGCTTCTACTCTCTTCGTCCTTTCCCTCCTCCATTTACCCGCTTCGTTCGATCGTTTGATCCTGCGCTTGCTTTTTTTCTTGTTCTTCTGTTCGTTCTCCGTTTATTTATTGACGTTCTGCCCGGCTTGCCGACTTTCGTCTACCTCTCCTCGTCTCTCTCCTCCGTTGTTTTGTTCATTTTCCTTTTCCTTCTTTTTGGTGGTTAACACTCTTTGGTTTTACTTTTACGCATTTCGTTGCTGACACCCTCGCCGTCGCCGGGTCCCTCCACGCCCGGCTGCTCGTTCTGCCCCAGCGCTCTCCGCAGTGTGCCGGTCCTGGCGTCCCCGCGGTGCCTGCGGCATCCCGCCTGCCCAGCAGGACGCGGGCCGGAGGGGTGGGTCCCGCCCGACGCGGCGCGCCCAGCCAGCCCGGGTACCTGTCCCCAGCGGTGCTCATGGCGCTGCGCGGCCGCCGCCGTCTGGCGGGGATCAGAGGAGCCAGGCCAACTGCTTTTCATTAAATCCCAACTGTGGTTTTTATCAGGAGAGCCTCTTTCAAAGGGCACAGACACGAAGCTCCGCGGACTCGCTCATTTCCTCCGCTGACCCCCACACACCTCCCCGCCCTGCCCGACACATTCCCACCGCCCGGGCTGGGCGAAGGCCCGAGCTGCCTGGCCACTCGGTGGAGGCCGGCGAGGCGCCAGTGGGTGGAGGCGGGTTGGGGCCGATCTCAGAGGATCCAGCCCTGGGCCTAAGGTGCGGGATGTGGCAGCGCAGATGGGGCGGGCGCCGACTCCTGCAGGTCAGCCGGTGCAGTGGGCAGCGGCAGGGCTGCGGGCCCGTGTGGCAGGCCCCGGCGTTCAGGCGCGTTCTCCGGAGATGGCAGGGTCCAACTGGCCTTGGCGCACGGGGCACCGGCCCAGGAGCCCGAGGCGCCCAGGGGACAGGCCCGCCCGGGCTGCTCTCGACGGCCCCAGCCGAGACGATCCAGTGCGAGGAAGCCAAGACTGCGAGAAGGGCGGCCATCACCGTGCATAAGGACGGGGAGGCCAGGTTAGTCTGAGAAATAAGAACACAGTTATTCCGTATTGAGAACGGCCCCGGTACTGCGGGACCGGCCGCGGCCGCGCCGCCGAATGCCTCACGCTCCGGCAGTGCCTTCCCCACGGAGGCTGGGCCTGGGCGGGGGGAGAAGCCGGCGGAGGCCAGGCCGCAGCCCTCGGCTGAGTCCTGCTGGGCCACTCTAGGTCGGGGCCCAAGCTCAGGGCCCCGAACGGGCGCCACACACAAAAGCCGCGCTTCTCTCCCCGCGTCGGGACCGAGGGCTCCGCGTGGCGCCCGGGGCCCTGGGCCCAGTCCGGGCTTCTGGGTCAGTGGCAGTTCCAGGCCAACTCCGGCCAAGCATGATTTCTCCTTCCCGCCTCCGGTCGCCTTCGGGCTTCACTGGGCCCGGGGCCATCGCCGCTCCACCCTCGCGCGACCTCCCGCCTCCCGTTCCCGCCACGGGAGGCACGGAGGGCTCTGCCTCCCGCGGGGCGCTGGCTTTGCCGGCCTGGGCCAGCGCCGGTGGGGCTTCTGAGGGAGCCGTGGCGAGGGGCTAGAGGGTCTAAAAGTGGAGAGCTGGGCGAGCGGGCGAGGGAAGCAGGGAGGCCCGGGCGGGCCGGGGAAGAGAAGGAGAGCTGGTCGGGGCTGCGCGCTACGCCCGCGCCGCGCGTTACCTTCCGCGGGGCCCTCGTAGAAGTGGCTGCCGTTGAGCGCCGGGCCGGGCCCGAGGTCCTGCAGGTACTTGGCGGGCGGCTTGGCCGGCTCTGGGAGGTAGGGCTCCAAGGGCCCGCAGGCCGGAAAACGGGTCAGGCGGGGGCCGCGGGGCGGCGCGGGGTGCAGGTGAGGCGCGCCAGCGGGGGTCCCCTGGGGGCCGGGCGGCTCGTCCCCCGCGGCCGCGTAGGGGCCGGGCGCGGGCCCCACGCCGAAAGGCGCGCAGCGCTCGGGGTCCATGCCGGCTCCCGGCGCACAGGCCGCCGGGGCTCCGGGGCTCGCGCTGCCCGTGCGGCCTGTGAGCGCCCGCCAAGGGGGAGGGACCTGGGCGCGGGGGCGCGGAGCCCCCGGGAGCGGCGCGCGCCGCGGGGGGCGGGGGACAGGGGAGGGGGCCGCGCCTCTGACTTAATGCTGGAACCATCCACGTCACGTGCGGCCCCGCGCGGGTTAACCCCTCGGAGCCCGGGAGCCCCCTGATTCACCCCAGGCCGCGTATCAGAGGCAGTTCGAGCAGAGGGAGGAAGCCACCTTCTCTCGACGGCAGGGTCCCTTTTGTCTGCCCATCTTGGTGAGTCCCTTGCTCAGAGCAGCAGCCTTGGGCCTGACATCCAGCCTGGAGGTTCTCGCCCCTAGAGGCGTGAGGCACGCCCAACAAACACTCTTAGGCCTGGTCTCCCGACAGAAGCCTGGGCTAAGGGCGGGGTGGGGGAGGGGCTAGGCTGGGCCTTTACCTAACTCTTTGCTGGGAGCTGGAAAAACGTTGCCTCTGCAGAAACACCTCCCTTGGGGATCCCTTGTTCCTCACTGGGACAGGAGTCCTTGGGAAGAGGTGTGTGGAAACAGCTCTAAACTGGGGATGGGGGCTGGGAAGTTTGGGCCTGGGCACTATCATTAATCAGCTGTGGGACCTTGAACTGTCACCATTGTCTTCATCGGAGCCTGGAGTCTGGACCAAGGCAATCCTTGGAGCCTTTCCATGTATTCCTGGTGGGTTTGAGAAGCAGAGGCAGAACCAGAAGATTCTGGGAGACTTGCAGGGTTTGGCAGAGGCTGTCTTTGGAGCAGGTGGAGGGGTACATAGAGGGTTTGGGGTTTGAACAGCAGGCGTGGAGTGAATACCTTTCAAACGATCTGGGAGTGCATGGGGATCCACTGGAGAGAGGCTGGCTGCAGCCCAGACTTCAGGGCTCTGCTGCCCCAGGCCTGCCATTTTGGAGGGAGATGAGGGTAGGGTGGCATCTCCTAGGAGTTGACTCTCCCCGGCCAAAAGGAAGCATAGGACTAGGGAGGTGGCTTGGAATTTCTGAGAAGAGAAACAACCCCCACCCTAAGATCCGGGAAGAAAATCCTGAGGACCCTGGGACCTGCTCCCTTCTGTGGATTGAGGAGTCCCCAAGTCTGGGTTACACTGCTTTTTATTTTTAGTGCCTCCAGAGACTAGTTAGAGGGATGGGGAGTCAAACATCATTTGTATTTCATTTGAATTCTCAATTTTTAAAGGAATCCAAGAGGCCTGGTGTGAACACCTCCCTCTTCCGCTGGGGGCTTAGAGGGGGTTTCTTGGCTGTCCTCAGCCAGAGTTGGGCTGTAAATCAAGGCCAAACAGGAACCAGAAGCCTTGCATCTCACAAGTAGTCATTAAGCCATTATTAAACATACCCTAACTTCTCTGAAGCCTTATTGGTTTAAACACCACATTGGAGGTATTATGGCCATTAGGGCCCCTAATCACAGACTGCAGACTGGGCTAGTGAGGTGGGAGCACCTGGGGCTGGGATTTCCAGCCAAGAGGGAGGTTCAGCTCAGAATTAAGCTTTCCTCTCTGGCCTCATCAGGGGGGATCCATTCTCTAGGATCCAGTGGATCGTAGCTCTGGGCAATCAATTTGCAATGATCCCTTTTGCTCATTAGTAAGGTTTTTTTTTTTTAATAGTTATTGGACTAAGGCTGTGGATATTGTTGACTCTTCAGGAGGATGTCAGTGTCAACTCAGGACGCTGCTTCTGTTCCACAAAGGAATCGAGCGGCTTACTGTGAGATATGCACGGAGGATGCAGGAAAAACATCACCAACAGTTTAAACAAGGCAGCCGGGCTTAAATGCCAAGTGTTTTGCCTCAGGTGATAAATCTTTCTCAGCCTCAGTGTTCTCATCGTAAAAATGGGCTGTACACGCGGACAGAGGCTGTTGGAGAAGCACTTATGTTCTGATGGATGTGATGTACTGTGTTAGTTCATGAGATTATTATTACTATTATGGTATCCAGAGATGGCAATTGGCAGAAAGTTCCTGACTCCGGGGTCTGAATGGGCTAGAGGCTGGGGCTGATCAGAGAGACCTAGGGACCGACCCAGAGCCCTGCCCAAGCCCAGAAGCTCCTCCTGCCTTTCCTCACTCTCTGACCAGAACCAGTTTCCATTCTGTCAGTGGAACTGAGGCTGGAGAAAACCCCAGCTTACATTCGGATCAGATGGATAGATAGAGTTGCCCTCTGGGTGGCTTTTTCCCCAGGATAATGCGACACGGGGTACGCTTTCCTGTTTCCCTTTTAAACCACTAGTGCAAACTCTTTATCTGTATGGGATATGGGGAGAGTTTGATGGGGCAGAGGCGCATAGAAAACACAAAAATTGGCACTCTTAGAGTTGTCCAGGTTTTCCCTTAGGAAGGCTGAGAGATCCTGGAGTACCACAGGGGCCCTCATTTTACAGATAAAAACAATAGCTAATACTTCTTACAGTGTACCAGCCACTGTCTATGGTGTATCCTATGGACATGAGTTTATTTAATCCTCCCAACTCCACGAAGTAGGCACAATTATTATCCCCATTTTACAGAGAAGCGAGTGAGGCCACAGAAGGGAGCCATTCGTCCATGGTGGACATGGCCACTTCGTGGCCGACCCAGAATTTATGCCCAGACCCATGGTCCCCCGCCTGACACTGAGCAGCTCTCATTCCTTCTTCGGCTAACTTGACAAAGCTGAAATCATCCAGTGCACACCCTCGTGTTCCCAGAGGAAGGTTGGGACTTTTCCCTGAAAAGGAAGTTGAGGCCAAAGTGCATTAGGGACAGAGGTGGTCCAGGGTGGAACCACACTGCTGCATTCCTGATGGCAGAGTGGCAGGTTATTGAGACACGCTGTACCCCATGCTGGGGTGGCTGGGACAGTAGGTGGAGGGGGGTTTCTGCTAAGCTGAGACCAGAGCGGCGAACACCTGAGAGGTTTTACGACCCACTGACGCAGCCAGATAGGGGGCAGAATCTTAAGAGAATTTGCGAGTTCACCATGTGTGATGTTTGATAATCACTTGCATTGCAATAGTGTTTGTCACTGCTGTATTATCCATGGAGTAGGTGAGATGAACTGATGCGATGATCCAGATCATTCTAGGTCCTATCATGAAAAACCTTAAAAAACAGCAACAACAACAACAACTAACTTCCCACCTGCTGAGAAACACTACTTTTAAAATAAAAATGGTACTAACTGACTGTGTCTAGGCAACTGTTTTGCACCAGCCAGTTGCTTCATTCATTCATTCATTCATTCATTCATTCATTCATTCATTCATTCACTGGGAGGACCTACTATGTGACAGGCACAGTGTGCCGGCACTACTAGGCGTGCCTCCGGGCTTCGTGGAGCAGACACTTTGCTGGAGTGGAAATGTCTCCTCCACCACGACAAAATCAGCATTGGGATGTGAATTAGGGTGGAATCTGGTCTCGAGAGCAGAGTTCCTGGCATCTAGCCTCACCTGTGAGGTTGGTTCTAGAATCAGGGAAGCAGCCCCAACTCCTACTTTCTTTCATTTTTGACTTCCCTCAGCCTACACCGCAGGACGGCGAAGGCTCCTCCCTTTTGCTGCAGTGGCTATATCCGAAAGGGGTCGGGACAACGGGAAAGATGTCACCTCAGATCTGACATATACAAAACTTCCTTCCAGACAGGAAAGACTCAGTTGCTTTTTTTTTTTCTCGAAGGGAAGAGAGTTGGTATTGCCCTTGTCCTGTTTAGACTCTGAAATCCTAAATTGATCCCTATGAAAATTCTGGGTTTGGGAGCCCAAGGAGATTGTTTCTCATTAGTGACATTCTTCCTGGAAGGTCAGGCTAAGGAATGGTAAATAAACCTTCAGATCCGGTGCTTCCTCCTCACCCATGATATTTAAAAGAAAGAAAGAAGGGGGCGGGGAGCTTTGTGCTGTGGAGACCCAGAATCCTGGGCTGACAATCCAGGCTGCAGTCTGGGCTTTGGGGTGAAATTTCTGGGACATTTGGGAGCTATTTTTTCGCTTCTGTTAATTTGATCTGTTTCCTTGGGACAGCCACTTAACCTGTCCGTACCTCAATTTCTCCCCTGGAAAGTGAGAGGAATGATTTTGTAGTTCAGCTTTGCTGGAATGAACAAAACAGTGTTTAGACAGATGTTTCTTGAGCCTGCCTCCACCCTGAACCTATATTTCTCTGCTTACGCTCTCTGCCCACCTCCCTGGGGTCGGGCCGGGATGGGGGCAGTGAACAGCGAGGTGGGGCTGTGTCTGGGATGTGTCCTGAGTGCCTGGTCTGGCCTGATGCCTGTCTTACTGCCTTTGTGTGAGGTAAATGGGTTCTGTGGCAAATGCCAACGCAGACCAGGAGAAGTCATTTTGTGGGAGAGTTTCTGGTGAACTCATTCTTGGTGTAAAACAGAAGGAGGCAGGTTTGGACTTCTTGGCAATTCTAATACTCTGATCAATTAATATGGTGCGTTCGTTTATTCGTCAAACATGTATGGAGTGCCTGCCCTGTGCCAGACAGTGGGGCTGCACGGTGAGGACTGAGTCCGAGGACAGAAGCCTTACTCCCAGGGCTTTTCCAGGCTGGCAGGGGAGATGCAGGGCAATGGGCACTTAGATCACAGGCTGTGTGCTGGCAGGAAGCACAGGGGCTGTGGCAGCCATGAGATGGGCCCCTGTCCCAGCCTTGGGCTGGGGGCAGCTGGTCATGGAACACTTCCAGGTAGAAAGTTGAGCGGGGCTTAACAGGGGAAGGGGTGTGGAGGGGGCAGGTGAGAGAGCATCCAGAGAGAACAGCCCAGAGGTGGGAAAGAGGAAGCCACATTTGGGGAACATGGATTTGTTGAATTGCTGGGGCCGGAGCAGGAAGAGTCCGGGCTGAAGTGGGAGGAAGAGAGAAAGAGGCAGAAGAGTCCACCCGAATCAAGAGAGACTCCAGGGGGAGGGCAGGATGGTTCCACAGGTATCCGTCCGTGCACCATGCACCAGGCGCCATGCACCATGTCCACCAAGCCCAGCTTCATGCACCGGATCTGCAAGT